AGAATCATTGCAGATCCTTATTTTATTTTTTATTTTTTGAATTCTCTATTGGAAATTTTATTTACAACATAACATAAACCCCACCCACCCCCAATACAGAAATCCACCTTAATTAAACATGAATATAACATACAATGAGCTTAACATACAACAATACAAACAACCAAATAAAAGACTTCCTTTATCCTGTATTTGGCCTCCTTATTTACTTCTTATAAGCTGTTTCCTTTATGAATAATTATTAAGATTTTTCTAATTATAACTTAAATATCCACAAAGTCTCCTGCAGACATTAATCAAAACAAGTCCAGGTATCTATTTTAGGGCACTGTTTTCTCTGCATTTTCCCCATGCTTTTTGAAACTCTTGTCTACTGTGATCTCTAATTGCCTCTGTTAATCTAGCCAATTCAATATACTCTAACAGTTTGTCTTGCCTTTCCTTTTTTGTTGGCACAGTTTCTTTTTTCCAGTTTTTAGCAATTAGGATCCTTAACGCTCCTGTGGCATAGAAGAATATTTTCTGATCTTCTCTTGCTATACCTGTGTCCGTTATCCCTAGTAGAAAAGCTTCTGTTTTTTAATAAAGTTATACTTAAACATTTTTTAAAACTCGTCATATACTATGTTCCAGAAGCTTTTGATTTTTTCACAGGTCCACCAAACATGTATAAGTGTCCCCTCCATTTTACTACACCTCCAGCACAGATTTGTTTTTGTCTTATACATTTTAGCTATTTTGGTAGGTGTTAAGTACCATCTATAAAACATCTTGATTAGATTTTCCCTCAATACTTCACAGGCTGTAAATTTCCAGTTCTTTCTCCATAGTTCTTCCCATGCTGTTAAGTTAATGGTTTTCCCAATATCTAAAGCCCACTTGATCATTACCTCCTTGACCTGTTCGCCTTTGACCTCCCACTCCAATAATGTATCATATATTTTTGATATTACCTTGGTTTGGTTTTGTAATAACACTTTTTCTAATAATGAAGGTTCATTTGGGAAACCTTTTTTCTTATCTGTCCTGAACACTTCATGCAATTGATGATATTGGATCCAACCCGTAAGGATGGTATTGGATCCAACCCGTAAGATCCTCAAAACATGGAGACAAACCTTCTCTAAAATATCCTTGCCATGGACTAAGGCAAACAGAAGAAGCTGCTGAAATGGGGCATTCCTAAGTTACTTACACTGGGAATAGACTAGTACAGGCACAAAGGTAGAAGCGAATTTTAGTGGATCCAAAGTTCCAAGAAGTCAATAAAATAACAGAAAGTTCCCATGGAGTTTGCTGAGTGTTTCTCAAAGCCTGACCAATTATAATTAATAGGCATGGTGAAACTGGCTATTGCCTTCAGCCGTGTGACTTGCAGAGGCGGAGCTAGCTGCTCCGGCATGTGAAGCAGTGCACATGCTGTGCACCTAGGGGCGGGGCTAGTCACCCATGGGGTGGGGCTAGCTCCCCACAGGGGTGGGGCTTGCATCCCACAGGGGCGGGGCAGGGAGCATGGGGGATGTTGCCCATGGCAAGCGTCCCAGGGGGGCAGGGGGGCAATGTCACCCCCCTCAGGGATGACACCCAGGGCAGACCGTACCTACCACACCCACCTTCCTCTGCCAGTGGTGACATGGCAAGGAAATACAAACTAGCTATTTCAAAAGCTTAATCAAAAAAATAAAAATAAAAATTTAAAGATCTATTTCATATTCTTTACTTTGTTTGCCCTGGAAGATGTGTTGCATTCCAGGGCTGCCATACGTCCTGGTTTTCCTGGACACATCCTGGAATCGCTAAGAAAAATTGTGCCTGGGCAGATTTTTGCTGAAGTTGGGCTATTTTTATTTTTAAAAGCCCCCAAATGAATGTTTTTGGGGAGATGGTCCCTAAAAAAGCTCAACAACTTTGATCCCGCAAAAGTGATCTCATAAAACTGGATTTTCACTCTTGGGAATATGGCAACTCTACTGTATTCCAATGAATGTGAGACAGAGTTAAAGTTTGAATGGGAACTCAAGTTCAGGCCTCCCCAGTTCAACATATTTTCTACCCCCTCTCACTCACCAGTTGCTGAATAGAGCATTTTCATTTCTGGAATTCTGACACTTGAAAGTCTATTTTTTGAATTTGCTCCGACTTTATTGGCTTATCAATAAGTGCTTACTAGCAAAAACAAAACAAAGAAACTACTTTGTTCTGCAGAGAATGAAATAAATGCGAGACCAGAAGGGCACAGGCACAAGGCCAGAACAAGAGATGTTCTTTATTGATTGCACCCATACTGTTTGTACCGTGTAATCTCAGGAGAAATCAAAACAAGAGGCTTTTGGACCTCACCAAAAGAGCACACAGGGGACAATTGGAAAGGAGAGTTTATGCAACAGCCCTGTCCTCTCTCTAGAACACTCTGCTCTCCTTTTTCATGAACATCATAATGGAAAGGTCTTTTAACAATTGACAGCAGAGACACTGAAAAAAAAAGGTTTTATAGCAGGACAGGCTCGTAATCCCATTTTAACGGTTTGTAAGTGGATGGCACTGAATAGGCTGCCGTGCCTGGATCTCTACTTCTGCTTGGATGTGTAGGAGAAAGAAATCAAGCCTGCAGCTCTTTTGTGAATGCACAGAATGGACAAAGGCCATGTGTACAGGACGTTTTGAGATTGAGGTCATACAGTCTGTAGCCAAACAGAAAATAATGCAAAACATAATGGGAAAGTATTATCGATTATCCTGCTTTGTCTGGCATTCCAATAAAGTTTAAGACATTTTCAGCCTCGTTGAGACCTATTAATACACTTTGACTAACCCAGATGGGCCAGGTTAGCATCCTTAAGATTGCTATATCTCATAGTTTAATACACTATGCCCTCAATTTAGTAACCTGTTGATTTTTTGATTTTTTTTTAGTGCTTTCCCCACTTTACCAAAGTCAATAAAAATACTTTGCTTCTGTTGCAGATCCCTGTGACCATCCAGATGTTTCTGAGCTCCAACTCCCACCATCCTTGACCACTTCAGTTGGGCCTGATATGAGATGGACTCCAGCAACATCTGGAGGATCACAGCTTTTCCTCCTCTGGTCTAGAGATTGATTTATGCCTTTTGTATTTTATTTTGTTGTAAATATGTATGTTTTCTAATTTGTACTTAATAAATAAATATAAAAGAATAAAAAATAAAAAATAGAGATTGATTTATGAACTTCTGGTGGAAGTAAGAACTCCAAAAGTTTAATTCTTTTCTGCCTGAACATGGGTTGCCTGGCCATTTGAACACATTTCAGACAAGAGTAACATGGCATGTGCCTCTCAAACCCAGGATGACAACACTACTTGAAAACAAAGTGTTGGGCTTCATATACTGTGTTCGGCTTTGTAGTGTTATTGTTGACATAGTTTGTGCAGAAGCAAGTGAGCTCTCCAGTGACACATCTGACCAGGTTTTATGAGATCAATTTCGGCTGATGTGGATTGAGAACCCTGACAAGGTTCTTGTATCTATGCATTCAGCCATGGGCAGCCTTGATCCCTGTCCCTTGAGGTTAATAAAGTCTAGCTGGCAGAGCATGTCTGGGTAGGTCCAGGATATGGTGAATGTGAATGTGGTGCCCTTTAGTCTACAATTGTTTTTGGCAAGGTGCTAATACGTTGTTTTTTGGGTAGGTGATTGAGAGAGTTGTGGTGAAGCAGCTACAGGTATTCTTGGATGAAACGGATTATCTAGACACATCTCAGTCCAAGTTCAGGCCCTGTTCGGGGATGATATCAGCCTTCGTCACCTTGATGGATGGCCACTACCGGGAGAAGAAAAAGGGGAATGCAGTATTGCTTCTTCTGCTCAGTCTCTCACATCTGATGACAAACCTGCCAAATTCACACTTTCTGAAACAATATGTGAACCAAAAGGCAGCCATCCTTCAAAAATTGCACTTCTCCGAATTTTGCAATGCAGTACTCCAGTCAAGTAATGTGTAAAAAAAATGCATATGATAAGGTTTAGTGTGCATAAATGGCCACATAGCAGTGAAAACAGCACACAAGAATACGTTTTGTGAGAGAAAGTTGCATTGCAAAAATGTGTCTATTCAGAGAAATTTGCACTAACATGCAGATGAATTTTCACAAGCATTTTTAATTATTATTGAAACAATTGTCAACTTGTTCAGAAATGTGGAAAGCTGAATTTAAGACTAGAAAAATGAGAAATGGAGAGAACCAAAACTGGCAGATCCATCCCTAGTGATAATGTAAGTTCTACTAGACAACAAATTTGACACACGGCCTAGCATTCTGTAGCAGCTCAGCTGAGCATTGGCCAGCACCTCTAACTGGTCCCAAGTTTGAAATGTATTTTGTGAATCAGCTTTTAGTGGGACTTGCAGCAGCAGGCACCAACTTGCAAGGGGCCATGGCCTTTTGAGCAGGCTTTTTCTATGGGAGCAGCTCAGATATGTAACTGTGGTTTGCTCATCTGTAAAGTTATCAGCAGCCCGTTACAAAACAGGACCAGAAAGGAGGAAAACAGCTTCACAAAAATTGCTGGCCATTGGATTTCTTTCATAAGAACAACAAAATATGTGCTCCAGAAATTCCCTTTGTCCCCTTTCCCCTAATTAGACATTGAATAACATTTGTTGCTTTTATTCAGGTCACTCCCCAATTACCTCTCACTCCCCCACTGGCCTTTCCAGCATCCTTTAATTCTTCCCCAGTGTTGCAGAATTAACCGGAGGGCGTTCTTAAATTTCATCCCTACAAAGAGCCTGTTGTGATTTCCGTGAATGCTTCTCCTTTTGCCACAATACACAAATGCGATTTGCAGCAGTTGCAGGGGGTGCGGGGAGATGGGGATTCTGCCGGACTCATTAAGGGCATTTTTGTAAGGATTGCCATGCTGGCGTTAAAGCCCCAAAGCTTTTCTATAAGAACTTTCATGTGTCAGCACGCGGATTGGCCCTTTAAGAAGGAAGGATGTCTTAGACTACTGGGAAATTCAGTGAAAAGAAGTGATCGGGTCACTTCTGTGGCTGGGGTGGAGAGCCCAAAATAGGGTGCATTTTCCTTGCAGACATGGTTACTTCGGCATACCCTGTTCCTGAAGGCTTCACTGAATTAGAGGTGTTTAGTATTGGCACCGCCCTGCTGGTAGAAGGTAAGCTGGGGTAGCTCCAAATAAAAATGGCGTCAGAAATAGAAGTCGACACATATACTTTAACCACCCCTATTTATCATGGAGGAGACGCGGGTGGCGCTGTGGGTTAAACCACAGAGTCTAGGACTTGCCGATCAGAAGGTCAGCGATTCAAACCCCCTCGGCGGGGTGAGCTCCCGTTGTTCGGTCCCTGCTCCTGCCAACCTAGCAGTTCGAAAGCACGTCAAAGTGCAAGTAGATAAATAGGTACCGCTCCAGTGGGAAGGTAAACGGCGTTTCCGTGCACTGCTCTGGTTCGCCAGAAGTGGCTTAGTCATGCTGGCCACATGACCCAGAAGCTGCCTGCGGACAAACGCCGGCTCCCTCGGCCAATAAAGCGACATGAGCGCCCCAACCCCAGAGTCGGTCACGACTGGACCTAATGGTCAGGGGTCCCTTTACCTTTACCTATTTATCATGGACGGGCCTTTATTTTCCTTTATGCTTTGCATTTGATCTTGATAAATCAGCTTTGTGGATCATGGTATGAATGGCTTTTTAAAAAATTTAACACGTTGCACAAAAGTATCCTTCAAGTTTCAAGCCTCTCCCCTGGGTCTCTAGAAGATAGATAGTGCAATGGGAGGTGGGCTGCAACTTACTCTAGGACATGCACTCACAAGGGCACAATCTTCCAGTGCATTTTCTTCCCTTCCTCCTATCACTGATTGTAAGCATTGCTGAATTTATTTGAGTTGCAGCTGTTCCATAGTAATACCAGTGGTGCAAGTCCATAATTCCTGCTATACACTGGAGGAGAGGGGAAAGGTTGCATGTTCTCATCTTGCCCTTGCAAATGCTGACTCTAGACTTCTTCACTTGTCTTGTTGAAGGGGCGGTAGCATCTGTAAATAGTAACATGTATTATTTCATCCCCTTCCAAATATGATAAACCAGGTTTGTTGCATCTTGTCACACACACACAGCTTGTTCTGCTGAGTGGGGTCCTGGGCATCTATCCCCAAGACCTGTCCCTGATAACGAAACCCAGGTTTATTGTTAAACACTTTTAGGGAAAGGTTATGGCCAGTTTATAGATACCCTTGCAAGATAGACCATTGCAGAGTAACTTGATTCATTATATGTATCTTGATACAGCGTATGAGGAATATAATGGGCACTGATGCCCAGGCGGCGATTCTTAGTGAGAATACGAATGTTACAAAAGTGTCTCCGTTTTTCAACTGGGAAAAATGTTGGAGGGTTTGAAGCAATGAAAAATAGATGTGATGGAATACTGTTGTGTTCAGGGTCATTGTAGTTACTATGGTTATGTCTTCTACAATTTAGATGAACTGGAGGTGGGATGGAGACTGGATGAAATGCAGATATGACCTAGGAAGGAAGGAAGGAAGGAAGGAAGGAAGGAAGGAAGGAAGGAAGGAAAAGAAAGAAAGAAAGCCTGCGCTAAATAGAACTAATAATAATAACCACATTCATAATATGGTGCTTCCACTCAGAATTGAAGGCTCTCAATTCCAGAACCACAGACAATAGATCAGGAAATAGGATTACAATAGTAACTACTATATCAGACTGGTATAGGTGAACATCAATTTTGATTGCGCCACCATATTTCACGGTTTCTTCCATACTTTCCTTGGAAATAAGACCCATTGATTTCATTGAAATATATGAGTCACATCAAATACGAGGTCCAAATCCTAATGTGGATGCCATCAAAAGAGAATCCCACAATGCAGAAGACCAGGTACTTGACATCTGCTCACCACTTGGTTCACCCAATGATTACAGAATCTCCATGCCAGGAATGTGCATCACTCATGGAAATTCTGCATAAGACAGAGATGAACCATATAGTGGGAAAGCGTGTTCTTCTTCACGGAGAGCACGTGTTGCGGTGGGGGCCAGCAGGACACTCCAGAGTTGTGGTTCGGGCCAATTGATTTTTGGCCACTGTTGTGATTGGGCTTCCCTTGTTGTTGGGAAAAAGTTAATGTTGCCATTTGATGATTGACAGCCAGAAATGTTAAAACTCCCTGCACGGAGCGTAGAGCTTCCTCTCTTCACTCCATGCATCGGATTGCCTGTCCCCCCCCCTATATTTAGGGTTCTTTGCTTTGACCTTGCTATGCCTGTCATGGGGTCGTCTGCTCTTGGGGCAGGGGCCCAGTAGGAATTTTGTCCATCTGGCTGATTGGCTGGGACCATTTGGTTTTTTGCCTACTGTGTAGCAAATCGTCACAACTTGTAAGGTTGCGGTTAGGCATTGGTTTATGGTTTGGTTGGTTATGGGGCATGGATTGGCTGTGCCTGCCCCTCTAATGCTGCTGCTGCAAGGGATTCCGTTAAAGGAATACAGGGGCTCACTATTGCTTTTGTCCGAACCCTGTCAAGGGGCTAGGGCCACGCAAGAGCCCCTGGTTGCATTTGGGGAGGGCTGAGGGCAGGTTCTCTGCTCTGTTGCTACCCCCAAATGTATTCCCCTTTTCTGACTTTCGCAGGCTTGCGGAATGTCAGTCTGTCCCCCACTGGGGGGCAGATAGTCGCAACCAATGCCTAAGCAACCACTCACATTTTTGTAATTTAATAAAGTTGTGGCCAAAATTATGCCAAAAACCTTTTAAAAAAATTCTGTGTGGTGTGTGAGTTATTTGGGGTGACCTGGGGACCTTGACACGCAATCAGTGTTAGAAACTGAGATATGAATGCCAGCTAAGTTGCACCTTAAACCTAGGTTATGGGTGCAACGACGGAATGTCCAGGTGTGCTTTTTTATAACAAGAAAACAAAGCTGAAAATGAATGAACTTCAGCTAATATCTTACGTTCATTTTTCACATGGTCTAGTCCTTTCCCTGCCTACCCCCCCCCTAATATTCTTATGAGGGTCTCTTCTCCAGTCTCCAGAGAGTGGCTGGAAGTGGGGAGCCAGAAAAATGTCCTCCTTTTCTTCCAGCAGTGGCAGTTTTAATCTGAAATCTTAGGCTCAGTACTGTACCCAGAGCTCAGAAACTGCTCACGTTAATGCAATTGCCTGTCGCAAAATGTGCCTAGAACAATAGAATACCTTCAAAACACCTAGTACACCTTCAAAAGCTGGTGGGAACTGTAAATGTAATAACATTTAGCATTTATTTTTCACTTTAGAAGCTCAAAGCACTTTATATTATATCATCCTTAAAATATTACATTATACTTAATAATATACCCTGTAGGATAGGTCGGTGCTATTCTTTCCATTGTAGTTGAGAGACTGAAGCTGCTTAAGACCTCATAGCTCAGATTAAAAGGTCTTGCCATTTCTCAGGTGCTTTGCATAGTTTAAGAAGACCAGCTATGGATGCAAGAAGCAATCCTGAAACAAAAGAAACCCGGGAACTAAAATGATTTTCCAGAATAACCTTTGGAACTACTGCTTAATCCATTGTTCGCAGGCTTTCAGGTGACAACCTAAAATCATTATGGGCATGGAGAAATGAGCAATTGTAGTCAGGTGAATTTATTTTATAGAGTTGTGTGGTACTTTATTTATGTAAGCTGGATGCCAAAGAGGCTTTATCAAAGTTTTCATAGCTGGGATAAGGCTGTGCATCCATGTGGGTTTTGTATGTTTCACTGTGTTTTTCTATGAAACTATGGAATCTGCTCATCGAAGGTAACAGCTCTGCTGTTTATTTGAGCATATATTTCATTGTGAAGAAGGTCATTCACACTGAGGTAATTTCATGGGCACAGGCCATAGTCAGCAATAGCGTGTCTGCTTTGCGTGCAGAAGGTCACAGGTTCAGTCCCTAGCATCTCTGCGTAGGGCTGGGAGTGTCAGCCTCTAAAACATTGAAGAGCAGCTGTCAGTCAGTGTAGGCAGTCCTGAGATGGATGAACTAATGGTTTGACTCAGCATAAAACAGCTTCCCATGTTCCTAGTTTTTGAAAGAGTTTGGTTCGCTCTCTTAAAGTCTCATTTCATTTTCTGAGTCGCTCATTTAACATGTAAGTGAATTAAACGATAAAGGCAGCTTAACATTATGTAATTTTTTTGTAATTATGGTTATTTACCCACGGTAAATGTATTTGTATGGAGGCCCAAGAAAGGCCGTTTATTAAGAGAAAGAGATAGCAAGCTATGGTTACATATCAAATTATCTAAGAAAATTAAAGTAAAAGGTAAAGGGACCCTTGACCATTAGCTAAGACAATTAGCTTACTTCAAATAGCTGTTCACCACTGTACTTTATTTGGTTTTCAGACTAAGGCTGCCATGCCAACCCCACTTACCTGGGAGTAAGCCCCACTGAATTCAGTAGGACATTCTTCTGTGTAGACAAAGCTAGGGCTCTTCTGTGAGGTAGATAGCGATGGGAGTTGGGCTAGACTCCAGTATTACTTGAGGTTTATGTTGGAGCTAAATGCTTGCATGCATGGTCATATGAAGCCTAAGCTATACACAAATGAGAGGAATACTCTGATGAAATAATGGTCACTCTGAATCTACATAAGCATAAAACCAAGAATGGAATAATTTCTTATCCATATTGCAACAGTAACTGTTGTAAAGACCAACAGCACATTTCTGTTTTGTTTCCCCCTCTGTGAACTATAATTTTCAGAGCTTACTGGTAATGGCAGATGACTGCTGTCACTTGCTTGTATTATGGGGATTTTGGAAAAGGTTGCACAGAGAGCTCATTTCTCATAATACAGTGCTACCTCAGGTTAAGAACTTAATTCGTTCTGGAGGTCCATTCTTAACCTGAAACAGTTCTTAACCTGAGGTACCACTTTAGCTAATGGGGCCTCTTGCTGCTGCTGCGCCGTACCACACGATTTCTGTTCTCATCCTGAAGCAAAGTTCTTAACCCGAGGTACTATTTCTGGGTTAGCGGAGTCTGTAACCTGAAGCATCTGTAACCCGAAGCATCTGTAACCCGAGGTGCCACTGTACTGTACTCAGTCCATGTCCATGCACCAACTGGCCCTTTAAGAAGGAAGCTGCTTTAGGCTTTCGGAAGAGTCAGAACATCTAGCCAAAAAAAAAAGAGAGAGAGAGATTGTCACTTGGAGTTTGCTAGTAGGGGAGGCAGAGCCTAAGCTAGTCTGGCCTTGCTGCTTTAAAGATGGCAACACCACACACTCTCCCTGAAGGTTTCACTGAAGTTGAAGTCTTTGGTTTGGGCACCCTGATGATGGCAGAAGGTAAGCTGGGATGAAGGGTGGTGTGGTCAGATAATTCTTAGATCAGATCAGACCTTCTTGCTGTTTCATTGCTCAAGCAAAACTGTGGTTTGAAGAAGAAGGGGAAAAGATTATATATAACCACATAACACTTTCAATAGAGCAGTATAGGCTTCAGGGTAAATCTTGTTTCTATGGCTACGCCATTGTTCATTATGCCTTTATGAAACAGGGCAGAGGTTGTTTGCAAGGCATGTTATGCAACAAGACTATTGAGGAGCGAAAGTTAAGTTTGTTGTTTTGAAGGATTCCAGGAATAAAGATCTTTATTGTTTCTGTTCTGTATGGACTTAAAAGGTGGTTTTGTATTTGGGACTGAGGATTCATACACATGGTTCATATCTTACTGTTTATTCTAAAACTCATCGCTTTCCATTTGTGTCCATCTTTTTTTTACCTAACAAGGTTATATAACAGAATCTTGTATACTTGAATGAAGATGCCCAAAATAGGCTGAGGGACGCATCATTCAACAGCACTGGATTTTAAGCATGTGTTACTCACAAAAGAAAAACCTGTCTCAAAAGTCCAGCTAAATGGATTTTGCCTCTATTTCTTCTTCTTCTTCTTCTTCACATAACTTGTTGTAGGAATTTCAACAGACTGTGCAAATGCAATTGCATTACTAATAAATTAGCTGGGTGTCTCAGCTTCACAGACAGTTGTGCTAGTGATAAATTAGCAAACAGCCTAGTTGAGAATTCTGATCCTTTTTGTTATTTATAGTTTCGTTTTTATACTTCGGCTGAAACCTGTTAAGTTTTGCACCATTTTTTCCCCTTCTACTGTGCTTTTTAATGTTGTTACTAAAAACAGATAATTGCCTGCTGACTTTTAAAATGATATAAAAGAAGGCAATCTGGTAAAAATTAAACACACTTTTAGTTCCCAAGGAGTGAAAAATTCAAAGAATTAAAAAATGCACCTGTCTTACTGAAATCAGCCACTTTGTAGCTGAAGTATACTCCATGTGTGATGACTCTATGCATATGAAATTTGATGGTGGCATATATCACTGTCAAGTGAAAAAAAATGCTTTCATTCCTGCTGATGTATTTTAGTCCTATTCTAATGGCCAAAAAGTACTGTTCAATTCTTTGACTGGGGAAAATATTTGACCTGCAATCCAGGGGTGAGTTGTGTGGATGACAGATACATTTACAATACAAACCTGTAAATTTGCAGCCAGATGTAAGCCCCTTTGAGTTTGAAGGGACTTACTGCCAGGTAGGTGTATTTAAGGTTGCAGCCACAGTCTTAGTAAAAATATGTTGGTGGTGGGTTTTCAAGGGATTATCTCCGTAGGATAAAGAACAATGTAAGTCGGATGTCTGCCGCTGAAGTTTTGTAATAAATGCAGGGCACGATCCAGTTTCATTGATATCCATGGCACAAAACTAAGCACGTGTGTTTAACACTCTTGTTTAAATCAAAAGGAATTAAAATTACTTAACTCTGGCTACATCATGTCTTAAGATGGAATTCAGTCTTGCTCTAGAGGCAAGCATTTCTGCTGGCCAGATGAAATGATTCCCCCCCCCCCCCAACATGCTGTTCTGGGTGTTCTCCGGACTCCTCAGAGTTGATTTGGGGGGGGCAGATTTGGGGAAGCATGGGAAGTGAGGGGGGAAGCCCTGTTGCGCTAACAGGACCCATGGCACTGGCTCTCACTAGCTTTATTTAGTTGAATCTGGCCCCTTGATTATAACTATCCAGCAGTATAATGGATGTCACATAAAGTAGAAGGAATGATTCAAATTCTGATACTATGCACACTTAATTGAACACAGTGGGCCTCAGTTCTGAGCAAATATATTTAGCAGAGGGTTGGACTAAATGACCCTCATGGTCCCTTCCAGATCTACAATTCTATGATCCCCAACTAGCTCGGTATTATCTACAATGAATGATTGACAGTGGCTCTTCCGGATTTCAGGCAGGGGTCTCTCCTAGGCTTTCCTGGAGATGCTGAGGAGTGAAGATTTATTCTTCTGCATGCAAAGCAGAGCTGTGGCTTTCTCCCAATAATATAAAGGACCAAGGTCATTTTAGTTCACAGGCAGAGCAGTCCTAACTGGGGCCGTGGGAGATCAGAACGGCATGAAGAGTTAAGATTGCAACCCCAGTAAACCATGATAAGTGCCTCTAATAATCCTGCACACTTGTGCTTTGGAAATTTGAGGATACTGAGAATTATTGCAGGGCAACTCAGGAAGGCTTCCAATTGGTTTTAGCAATCTGCAGATAGCTTTCATGGGAGATTTGATTTTTCTGAAGCTTCAGTTATACCATCTTGCTCGAAGGCACACTTAGGATTGCTCCTGAGGCTGAGGGAGCTCCTAGCTCAAGATGGCATGCTCAAGATGGCAAACTCAAGATGGCATGCTTACAGTCACCTGACTGGCAGTACTAGTGGTATTAACATCTCACCATCTTACAGACAAGAGCATGTCTGATCCTTTTACCTGCACATACTTTCCTACTGAGGGCCATCCATCAATACTTTGAGAATAAACCAATTTTGTTTCAGCTATTCCATTGAATAATTTGTAATCCTTTCTCTCTTCCACCTCCTTTTAACCAACTACCCCCTATTCAAGTCTTTTGTTATACCAGATTTAGCTTTCCATAAACCTGAGTTGTTTAACATCTATATAATCTATTCTATATAATCTATATATCTTTATAATCTGCATAATAAAATTCCTTATTTATTTGTCATGATTGTTTGCTGTACATGTTTAGATTTTTTTAATGCAAAGTATTAAAATAATAGACTGGGATCTATTGTAACCTACATTGGTCTCTTGGAAAATGAATTTAATTTGTTCCCCTTTTTAATAAATTGAGAAAAATAGAGCTGTGCTAGAGGTATACAGACAGATGCTGTCTGGGGCTAGTGTGACTTTTAGTCTAAAACCTCTGAACGGCACCAGGTTGGAAAAGGCTGCATCTCATAACTGGGTTACTAACAGTTGGCTGTTGTTTGGTGAGGAACAAATGCAAGTAAAAGCAAAGAACCAAATGACGCACGATGCAGGAAAACTGCAAATGTGTTTTGCCACAATTATTGTGCTTAAATTTGGTCAAGCTCAGTTTGCACTGGAACCATGATGAGGGAGTGAGGTTAACCCTTTCCCCTTCTGATATTTGTCCCATTTTTTTGTTCTTCCTTTTGACCAGTTATCTTAGTTGGGTGTGTGCATGCAAAACTCCCTTGCACTAGCTAGAAGAATAGCATTGGACACTACCCCCTATTTTTATGCAAATCAAATGGTCCCATGTTTCAATTTGGTTCCTTATTCTTCTCTCTGGCTGTAGTTAATTGTCATAACTAGTCCAAGCCAACTCTGATTGTTATAAACAGATACAGGGATACAAAAGTAACTATGTGAGTAAGAAAAGCTGGGGCATTGTTGAATGCTTGCTGGTATGGCTGGTGTAGTTTGTTGAGTCCAAGCGTGAGCAAAAGTTATAAAACAACCCTTTTAAACCTGTGCTTGTTTTCAGCGCTGCTTGGATTCTCTCTGAATTTGCTGACCATCATCTCTTTCTGGAAAATCAAAGCACTTCGAACGCCTGGCAACTTTCTGGTTTTCAACCTTGCACTGTCCGACTGTGGAATCTGCACCAATGCATTCATTGCAGCTTTCTCTAGTTTCTTAAGGTAGATTTTTATTTATTCATTTATTCAAGAATATAATGTGCCTTTCCACTAAAAAAAAAAAAAGTGCTAATGACAATTGATGTGTTTTATCTGTCCTTTTAAGCCACTGATAAACTAATGTATTTCAGAGGTGTGATACTCACGCATGCTGCTTTGAAAATAAATTAGGGTGCTACAATGTCGGACATGCAAAATTCAAAGTTCTATATAGTAGAAGCTCCCAGTCTTCTTAAACTGACCATTCCTATACTTGGGGTTATGTGCAGTGAGTCAGGAGAGAATGTAGCAATGCATCCAGATTCCATACAGTTTGCACAGCAGATACATCTTATTGCATGGACAGGCAGAGTCCCCACCAACCCCAGGCGACCCCCTAGTGGAATAATGACTCAAGACAACATGCTGTGGGATTAAATTGGCCACAACTTTATTAACTTTCAGATGTAGGGAGACCTTGGCTCAGGCATTAGGTGTTTATCTTTCCCAGTCCCCAGCCGGGGATCTGGGAGACATCAGGGTTATCCAGAATGTGGGGGGATTGGGCTAGCTCTGGAGAACATATATTCAAGCAGAGAGCCCGCCCCCCCCCATTTCGTCACCGTCGCAAGGGAGAGCAATGACAACCTCTCGGCGTATGGCCAATGCCTCCCCCCTCAAGACCCCTTTAACGGGGAACCCTGGGATCACTGCCGCAAGGGGGGCGTGGATCACTGCTTCACGCCCCCCCCCCCATTTAGGAAGATAGACTAAAGGATTCTGCCCAAGGCCTGAAACCGCCAAAGTTGTGGCGTTTTGCTACGGGAAAGGCAAAACCTGCCAATGCAGGAGAATTCCTTTCCGGCCCTTCAACAGTGACCATGACGTAGCAGTGCCCACATACCTGTGAAGAAGAGATTAACCTGCAAAAGAAGACTTAACTGAGGGAGGGCAGGGTGGGAGAAGCTCTGGAGCCAAATGATGCTTCACAGCTAAGATTCGCCTTCCGTTGTGTGGGCAGGTCAGTCCCTCCCTCTACCTGGCCGATCCCCTGGCAACGCCTCCCCAGGCGGGATTGGGCGATTGGCTGAGGTAGGCAGAGACCTCCAGGTATCCAGCCTGGGGCGAGCGAAGCCAGCCCGTGCTACCAGAAGCCGCACTGGGTCCCGGGGGGCTGCGCGCAACCATGCAAAAGGCGCCCCCCACTTGATGTGGGGAGCGATCATTGCTTAAATCTGCAAGCTCACATAGTCTCTATGAGGCATTCCACATCCCCTTAGCTGTATCATCTTTCCTGATGTGAATGAGCTGGTCATCTTCCACAAGCAGGCAGATCGCTGCCTTTGCTTGCCTCTTCTCTTTGGCCCAGTTTTTTCAGTGAGTCTGTCTGTACTCAGCACTTTCCACAGGTGGGTTTCTAGTTTGGATTTCCATAGTGGGTTGTTCCCATTGCTCAGCTTTTCAGTACCCAATTTCAAACCTGAACTGCTTCCCATTTTCCCCTCAGATGCTTTGTTCTGCTTCAGGTTTACTTTCCTTTTCTCTCAGAGCCAGGCTCGCTTGGGAATTATAGGGACAGAACTACCTAAATCATATAGAAATTTATTTATTTATGCTACTACAGCAGCAAGAATGCTACTTGCCCAAAAGTGGAAAGAAGCAGAAGTCCCAGTAAAGGAAGAATGGCTACAGAAACTCATAGAATATGCAGAAATAGCAAAACTTACTGGAAGGATAAGAAATCAAGATAACAAACTTTTTTATAAAATAATGGAAATGGTTTATTGATTTTTTTCAGATACATTGTAAACAGATAAAAACATTAGCAGGATTATTGTAATAACCCACAGTTTCACAAGAGTATCTATTTACAGTAGATAATTAAATGAGCAAGTGAAATGAATTTGGATATGCAGAAGATATTATAAATAAATAAATTTAAGGAACCACAAAAAGAGGGGGGTAAGGAATCCAATTTTGAAATGTTAAATAGATTGTAAAACTAATGAAATCTATAAACTTGAAAGGTATAAATAAAAACTTTCCAAAACAAAAAAAAGAGCCACGCTTGCTTGTGACAGCAATAGTGTTTCTGAGCCCATAACCAGTTAGCAGAGTGACTGGATTAAAGAGAAAAAGGAATGGATAATACTTTACTTAGGGTAAAGTGAACAAGAGCAGGGTATAACCTGAGGAAAAATATACAGAGAGGTTTTTCTTTTCTTCAGCCAGACCTGCACAGAGGAGAAGCTCCTTCAGAGCCGCTTTTCCCTGCAAATGCCACTAACTGTCAAATCTCAAATGTCTTCCACGCTTGCAGTTCTTTCCCAACTGACTGGAACCTCCAGCCACTCAGAGTCTGCTGTGAGCCAAAACAGAAACAGAATTAACCCCTTAATTCACACACTGGATGTTCCCTGCCGTTGTACTTCCAACAACATAAACATAAGAGATACAGCATGAGTGGACCCACATAACTCTGGTGATGCCCACTTTGCCTTCCTATCGGGGCTGGCAAGATGAGGAAACTGCCTCAGGTGGCAAGATCCACAAGGGCAGCAGATTCAGCCTCCAAGGAATGCATTGCCCAATGTTGCTGCCGCTGCACTCCCCCTTGTTCCTAAAGTAAATCTTTATTTTCCCCCTTGTTCCTGATATAAGTCTTCCCTCAGCCCTTCTTCCCAGGTGGGTGGGTGGAGCCATTTTGTGGTTCACCTCAGGTGGCAAAATGTCTTGGTCAGGCCCTGCTTGCTATCCAGGTAGGGTGTGAGATCAGTGTCCTGATCGCTCCACCTATGGCAGGTTCCAATGTTTTCATTTATCTCTTTTCAGATACTGGCCCTATGGCTCTGATGGTTGCCAGATTCATGGGTTTCAAGGATTTTTGACAGCACTGACTAGCATTAGCTCTGCAGCTTCCATTGCCTGGGACCGATATCATCAATACTGCACTAGTAAGTACTAGCCTGGTATTTGTATAGATCTAGATCAGGGATCCCCAAACTCAGCCCTCCAGATGTTATGGGACTACAACTCCCACCATCCCTAGCTAACAGAACCAGTGGTCAGGGATGATGGGAATTGTAGTCCCAAAACATCTGGAGGGCCGAGTTTGGGGATGGCTGATCTAGATCATTAGTTCATTGTAAATGACACCCACCCCGGTTTACAAGAAGGAGAGATGATGTAAAAGTATTACAAATTGGTGAAAATTTTTATTAAATTTTCACCTATGATCCTTTTCTTTTACTTCTTTATTTTTTCTTTGTTCTTTTTTTCTTTTTTCTGATATCTTATCTTTCATTTCACTCCTTTATTGTGAATAGCATTTTATAGAGGTATAAATAACTGTAAATATGAAAAGAGGCAAAGTATTCTCTAATTTTTTTCCTTGGTTATATGTATTTTCTTTTTCCTTTGTATTTTCTTTTGTTGTAAATATGTATGTTTTCTAATTTGTACTTAATAAAAATTATTTTTTTAAAAAAGTATTACAAATTGCTATGGAAACATGACAAATAAAATATTTAAGAATTTTAAAAGAGGTTTGCTGATCGGTGGTAGAAAGCGGAATGAAGTTTTGCCACTTTAGCACAAAGACCTCCCCCCTGTGCAACAGGGCTTTCTGCCCATCTTCCATCCTTGCATATGCTCCCCTTGCGCCCTTCCTCAAATCTTCTCCAGAGAATGGGGGTAACCCAGAACAGTTTGGAGACATGCAGGGGCAAGGGCGCATGGGGAGAGGAGAGAGAGGGGAAGTCCTGTTGCACAGGCAGAAGTCCTTGCACTAACCAGTTGACTTAATTTGATACATACCTTCAACTTTACCTATCAGTTTAAATCATATGTGCTTTTAAAAAGCATCAGACATTGTTTGCAGTAGCTCTGAAAGGGGTGTTAACATTCTGAGAGCATAACCTTCCATGAAATATTTTGGAAAATAACAAGAACTATGGATGTGATGGTGCTGCCTTGGGGTGGTGGGGGAGGGGGGAAATGTCCGCATTTTCTGGGTTCTGGTAGATGCACCAGATATATTGCAATTTTCCAAGGTAGAGGAGATGCTTTTCTGGCATGGAGAACAGGAAACATGAAGAACATCTGCTTCCTCTTCATTCTGCCACATTACAAGTCCAAAGCATGACAGTAGGACAGTAAATTCTTGGGCATGACAGTAAATTGCCTGTAGAACAGGGCTCATGATGCAATACTATTGTTATGAGGCATTGTAATTGTCTTGTGCACCGGTAGGGAAGACAGTGTTATCTCTACCTTAAATTGGATTCGATTGTCCATGAACAATTTAAAGTCAGAATTTTAAAAATTATCTTGTCCTAAGTATCCATCTTGAGTCAATCTAAAGCAGCCTTCATTGGAGTGTAGAAAAACAGGTATTAAATTTTTTTAGATATATCCAAAATAAGATGCACTTCATGAAGGTTGGCTTTTTCTTTCACCATCCATTGTCGTAAAGAAGAAACTCCCTGTTTCAACATAAGTTAGTTACTCCTTTCTCTAACCACGGCCTACTCTCTCAATAGAAATCCCTGGTCAATTGACTCAGAGTTGCTGCTTTTATTTCCATTCCAAGTTTATGAATCTGATTTCTTCTCATTTACAGGAAGTAAGCTACAGTGGGGCTCAGTGATTTCCATGGTGATATTTCTATGGCTTTTTGCTGGCTTTTGGGCTGTGATGCCTCTTCTAGGATGGGGTGAATATGACTACGAGCCTCTAAGAACATGTTGCACATTGGACTACAGCAAAGGAGACAGGTGTGTTCCGTCTAGGCATTTCTGTGTGGCTTTAAAATAAAAATAAAAAGAGGTGCAACTAGTAAAAATGAATTTTACAGACAAACATATACACGGCAGTGGCAAAAGGTTGCCTGGCAGAATATCGCTCTTGTGCTGCTAAAACGCAGCCATCCTTTGACATTCTTAATGGTGCAATGCAGTTCTGCAGCCATGTTACATGTACAAAAATTCACATACTGTGGTAAAATATGCATAAAACACACACATTGATGACAATCACTTGCAAAAATGCATTAGGGGCAATTGCTTTACAAAAAAAATTGTATATGAGGCAAAACTGAAATAGGCATCGTGCATATTCAAAGGATTTTGCATTGAAATGCTGGTGGATTTTCGTGAGATTGTTTTTTTAAAAAGTTTGCAAGCTAATGTGGAGAACTGAACTTAAGGCTAGAAAAATGAGAAACTGAGAGAAAGTGAAATTGATGGATTTTTCCATCCCTGTGCCTCACCTGCCCCACCTCCACTAATCATATTGTGCCTCCTAAGAAATCAGGCAGCCCACCAGAGACAGTTGTCCTACAGAACTATTATTATGTTTAACACAGAGAGCTGCCCCTTAAGATGTTTTGCTAAACCTAATTGAATATATGATTTCTCTCCTAAGTGGTTTTTAATATCAATTATATAACATTGCAAACAGATCTCTGCTCTTTCCTCTCTCCCCTCCCCCCTCCAGGAATTATATTTCCTATCTTATTCCTCTGGCCCTTTTCAATTTCTTGATTCCGGTGTTCATCATGCTAACAGCCTATCAATCGGTAGATCACAAATTCAAGAAAACAGGACAGTTCAAGGTAAGAAAATATCCCGGCATATAAAGGGTTGTACACAGCTTCCTTGCCCACTCAAGGAACCATCTCCTACAGCTTGGTTATACAGTCTGATACGCGAAAGAAGCAGTCTTTCAACTTCCTCATGGTTGCCATTTAAAAGGGGGAGGGGGAATCTATTTGTGGCAAAGTGCTGGAAACATTTATTTTGTCTCAAAATCATGTGCTCCTGTTGTAACCAAAGGGTTTTTGTGTGTTGTATCAATCTTAACTTTTTATATGAGTTTTATTTACGCAATACCACGTTCTCTGTTCTTGTTTTTTCCAGTTTAATACTGGTTTGCCGGTGAAATCTTTGGTCATCTGCTGGGGTCCCTACTCGCTTTTATGTTTCTATGCCGCAGTTGAAAATGTGACTTTCCTCTCCCCCAAAATTCGAATGGTATGTAAAAATAGCCCGAGAGCACAAAGATCTTTCGTGCAATGCAGACAATTCTAAGCACTTGGTATCAATGGGAGAGTACAAGAAAGAACACTCAGAAGCCTGAGGCAAGGAGATTGGAGCATGCAGCTCAATGGCAGAGCTTATTCCTTGCATGCAGAATGCCCCAGGGTCAATCCCTCGTGTCCCCAGATATGGCTAGAAATGTGCCCTGTCTGAAATCCCATAAAACTGCTGGCAGTACTAAGCTAGATGGATCAATGGTCTGCCATGATATAAGGCAGCTTCTTGGATTCCCATCCATCTCTTTCTTCTCCATCCACCCCCTCTGCTGTCTTCCCCAAACACAATCCATTTTAGACTGTAAAATCCTTGGGAACAGGCCACTAACCCTTTTGCCTAACTCTGCAAAGCACCATATAAATGGATGGCAGTGGGGAAATAAACATCATCGCCCCCTGCCTGGCCACTGAGTCCAGGTAAAGAGGAGCACACCTGAGATCCTGGCAAATGCACCACAACCCAGAGGAAATGTGTGGTCCCTTGCTCCTCTGGTAGAGCCAAGAACAGCTGTGCGGGCCCAAGATTTAAGGAGCCCAAATGGAAGTGGCAGAACATAGGAATAGAGAGAGAGTGGAAGAATGGGGGAGGTTGTTCCATCAGCCCCAGCTCAGTGAAAAACATGGCCGCTGTTAAAAATTAGTTGCTGATCAGGGTACCACCCAGACCTCATACATTTCATTATGAAATTCTGTGTAAACACGAACCCATCCTTATCTAACCTCCTTAAATGCTCTGCTTCCTAACAGATCCCTGCTGTTATTGCCAAAACCTCGCCAGCCGTGAATGCTTTGGTCTATGCTCTGGGGAACGAGAACTACAGAGGGGGGATATGGCAGTTCCTCACAGGACAGAAGATTGAGAAAGCTGAAGTTGATAACAAAACTAAGTAACGCACTGTGGCATTAAGCAAGGGCCTCTTCACACACACACTCTACATCCCTTAAATGTACACCTAGGTTGGGTTTTGAAGTGCACACTCAAAAATATCGTGACAAATTGGTGTTTGAAACCTCGTACGTCATACAGGCATGCTCGTCAGGGATCCAGGTTTAGCTGCGTACTCTCGTTGAGTCTCCCACTCTGTGTCAGGCTTGTTGCTGTGTAATGTGTGAAACAGTCCCAAATTGAGGCAGGCCCAACTGGACACATCCAGTAGCAGAAACCACTTACTATGACTCCAATCGACTGCGGTCTCACACTAGAAAGGCTTTGCATTGTCTACCAGCAATTGTCGCATTACTGAAAGGACGCCGTGCAGATGTCGTTGCCGAACTTGCCTCTCCATCTGCCCCGTGCCATTTGCCAAATAAGATGCCTCTAACCTCTGCGGGTCACTCTCATTTTACATGTCACTCAAACGAACTGCAAGCTGTGAAGCACATTGTTTTGTTGTTGTTGTTGTTGCAAGATGGAACTGCAGGAAACCAAGCAGGGGGGGAAATAGTGGGGATCTGTTAAGGCTTTCTGCTTGTTTGTACATAGGGTATTTCTGGGTTGTTGAGAGATTAAGGCAGTATCCAGTATTTAGGCCGTATGTTTGTGCCTCTGTTTTCCTATTTGCATAAAATGGGTGTTTGCAAAAGGAGGGATTTGTTTCTAAAATTCTTACTGTTTCATGAATACCATTTATTTAAATCTGGCAACTGATGGAGGGATGCGTGACTGGATCTCTCATCAGTCAAGCCTGCCAAATCAGTCTTCATTATGTAATGTGTTGTGCAGGTTTAATGCCTCTCATCTTAGCAATCTGCCTGTCGAGTTCTGTATTGCTATATTAATGTTGTGAGATGTATTGTGATTTCAGTCAAAAGGCTGAATGCTTATGCTGATGCTGTTCCCACCCGCAACCCCGGAATGTTTAATAACACAAAATGGCTCTGTGCAGGTGTTATGCCAAACGATGGTTTGGTGTTATGTCTGAAACTGCAACAGCTTACAAGCCATATTTTGTGAGGTGCTGCCAAAGTAGATTCCAAACTAATTGTAGTAATTGTAGCTTTCTGCTATGTCTGAGGTCCTAGGCCACAGATTCTGGCATTGCTAGAGTTGAACATTCTTTAACCCCAGTTAGTGGAAATATAATCATCTGATGATGATGATGAGATAGAAGCAAGGAAGGGGGGGTTCCCTCTTGGGGCTGCAATATACAACAAAAATTGTCTTTCACATGTACAGAATCTCCCATGCTCAGCAGAGTTCCTAAGCAACTTTGGATTGAAACTTTGGTTGTACCACTGCAGACTTCAGGCAGGGCCTAATGTGACTGAATACAATTCCATTCAAAAATTAATGCTCTCCAGATGGAAAGCTAGGTCTAAGCAGGTCCAACTAGTGTTGGGATAGCTCAGTCGGTAGAGCTTGAGACTCTTAATCTCAGGGTCATGGGTTCAAGCCCACGTTGGGCGCAAAGATTCCTGCATTGCAATGGGTTGGACTGGCTCATCCTTGTTGTCCCTTCCAACTCTACAATTCCATGATGCTGTGAGTCTATGATAGACAGCAAACCAGCTGCCTCCTCCCTGTGCCCTGGATCCCATGCCTGGCACCACACCACCATCACCTCTTCATTCTTCCCCTGCTCCCAATGATACCCCTCATCCACTGCTGCCACCAGCTACCTTGGGGCCTCTTTCCTCTGCAGAGCATAGTATCCTTCCTCAGAGTGAGGCATTGTGGGTAAAGTGGCCTGCTCCGCCACCACAAAGTATCATTTAACGTGTTGCGGTAATAAGCAGCATCACTTGAAACAAGCCTTCTCTGCAGGCTCACCTTGCTTTTGATGCCTTGTTCTGAGGAAGGGACCTCAAAGGCAGATGCAATAGCCAAGGGCAGCACTTTGGGACCCCTTCTACCACTTTCCTGCAGCAGTAAAGTGGTGGCAGAACTCCTGGCTAGCTGTCACTGGGCTGGAGGTGGTGGCCAGCTGGCCGTAGCACTAGCCGCAGTCTGCTAGCCAGTCAACAAAACAGGAACAGGCAGTGCGGGGCTCTGCAAATGGTCAGAACTGGCAAACAGGCCAAGAGGACAACAGTTTGCTGCACCTTTCCGTCTGAGACAAGCAGTTGCCTTCCCTTATGGTGGGGCACCATCCCTGGTTCTAGCCTAGCCTCCCTGACATGCTAGTTATCGATGTGAAGCAATGTTTTTCATATGATACACACAGAGACTTACTACCTCACTAAGAAGTAAGGTGAAGGAAACATGGATCGAGGTTGTGGGAAGCCTGATATATGTGGCTTTGGCTTTGGGTTGAACAGTAGAAAATGGAGGGGGAATAATCTGTTATTGGAAGGAAGGGGAAAATAACAGCCCTGATTGCTATATCCCAATGTGTGAACAATTTCCATGGCAAATGAGGAATTTGTGTAAGTGCAAATACGATTAAAGCAGCATAGCCAGAGCTTAGTATAAAACAAGTGCTTGCTTTATATTTCTCCATACTTTAAGCCTCTTATATATTCAAAAAAAGGATTAAGAAGACTGTACTCTTGTGAGGACAATGCACAGTGTCAATGTGCTGCAGCCAATTCAACGGCAGAATAAAACATGAGATTATAAACTGGGACCGGCCAGATGTCCATCCTAAATCTGGATTTGTCATTGTATGCAGAAAACCAATAGCAAGGAAGGGAGAACATTATAAGGAGTGTATGAACTGTTACCCAGAAAACCACAAAAATAGTTATTCCACTCTAAGACCTTTGCTGTTGACTGATGCTTCGGAAAGTCCATCAGTAAGCAGTGGCAAATAACTTTTGTCCACAGAGAACTTTCAACAGATCTTTTCCAGAATTATTATCAACTGAATTTGCTTGTTACACAAAAAAAGGTTTCCCAGCAACTTGCAACATCTTAAGAACATAAGCATTGTATATATATCCATACATGTACACACACACTATAATAGAAGTGTGCAATTCTTTTAAAAAAAAACAACAACCCACAAGCAACCCCAAATTCCAGCAGCAGAAAAGCTTCAGCAGCAACATTTACAGGAAACCCAGGTAAACAGGTACATTTTTATCTCGTGCTGAGAATATGTCAGCCAAGGCACAAGGTAGACCACGCTTGGGGAAATTTCCACAAATGGGAAGCCACCATTGTAAGGGTTCTTTCCCCCATCAACATCTTCCAAGACTTCTTCAGAGGAGGTTCTCAGATGAACCTCCAAGAGTCTAAGTAAGTTCATATTAGGAAAGGCATTCCATAAGATATTGGGATCCTGAACCATAAAAGGTAGAGGACCCCTGAATGGTTAAGTCCAATCAAAGGCAACTATGGGGTTGCGGCGCCCATCTCGCTTTCAGGCCGAGGTAGCCAGCGTTTGTCCACAGACAGCTTTCTGGGTCATGTGGCCAGCATGATTAAACCACTTCTGGTGCATCAGAACACCAGAGCACACAGAAACGCCATTTATCTTCCTGCCGCATTGGTACCTATTTATCTACTTTCACTGGTGTGCTTTCGAACTGCTAGGTTGTCAGGAGCTGGGACAGAGCAATGGGAGCTCACCCCGTCACAAGGATTCGAACCACCAACCTTCTGATCAGCAAGCCCAAAGGGCTCAGTGGTTTAGACCACAGCACCACCCGTATCCCTGCTGAACCATAAGGTTTATAGAGCAACTTACGTTGGGGGAAGCAAGTACCTTGGTGGGTTGCTCTTCTGCAATACCTTCATCCTCCCTTGCTCACACCATTCTGCAAGATACCATTTATCCAAGCTTCCTACTACCATGTTCCTCCCACCCTCCCTGTCAACAGCAGCGACACACAATGTTGGGAAGCCAGGAGAGCAACACAGCCCCAGCCATGTTGCCCCAGTGGCCATTACTCTCTGGAGGGTACCAGGTAGGGGTAGATTGGCCTAGAGGAAATAATATGTGGTAGAACTCCCCAGACCAACAAGTAGACACCAAGTCCCATCAACGTCAATTCCTGCATGTGTTACAAATCCCAAGTCCTCTTCAATAACAGTGACCTGTTTACTTGAGGTGACTGGTAACTTGTAACGCGCCAAGAGGATTTGACCGATTTAGAAACTGAGCAGACCTTATTATAGACGTCACACTACCTCCAGTCAGACTGTGTGGCAAGAGAGCCTTGCCAGCTAATATGCTTAAGGAAAGGCACTATGGCGAAACCGGATTAAGCTGGAACTATTTCTCTGAAAGCAGGAATGGGAAATTCCAAACAAGGTTTCTCAGATGGTTTATTGCCAGTGAGGGAGGGAGGGAGGGAGGGAGGGAGAGAGAGAGAGAGAGAGAGAGAGAGAGAGAGAGAGAGAGAGAGAGAGAGAAAGGAAGGAAGGAAGGAAGGAAGGAAGGAAGGAAGGAAGGAAGGAAGGAAGGAAGGAAGGAAGGAAGGAATTAAACAAGCTGGGAAAAGTGAGAACGATTAGGATAAAGTACTGAGGCCCCTTTTTAGGTTTCAACATGAAGCGTAAGAAATAGACAAGAATCAGAGAATCCTCAAAGGCCTTCACTATGGGAAGATTAAAACTGAAGACAAAAGAAACCTATCTTCCCTAAATTAGCCTGTGTGACATACATTATTGCATTAATAGAACCCATGAGTCAGAATGTCTAGGAGCCAGAGCCTCCCCAAAGGCCACATTCACACCATGCATTTAAAGGGATAGCATTTAAAACAGTGATGGCTTCCCCCATAGAATTCTGGGAGCTGTAGTTTGTTTAAGGGTGCTCAGAGCTGTTAGGAGACCCTGATTCCCCTCCCACAGCTACAATTCCTGGAGTGGTTTAACAATCAATGATTCCTTGCAGGGAACGCTGGGCATTTGTACAGTCAAATGTTGATTCAGGTGTTTTTATGACATTGGTATTTCATTCAGCGCTTCGCTGCTGTTTATTTCTTTCCTTCATTCAGTGTGGTTGCCATATCTGACGAATTGTTTTTTGTGATGCACATTGCACGTCAATCACCTCCACACCTTTTCCGTGCCCCCGAAAGATTTAATTTATGTAAGGCTTTTTTATTTAAAAAAAAATACCTTGGGGAGCAAAATTAATATTACAAGCTGGATTGTGGAAGAAACAGGCTGGGGGACCTCTTACGGAAGAACTCCCTCAGAGGAATAATCACATGTACTGTGAAACACTTGTGTTTGGGGCAAGGGGGAGAGACTTTCTTTTCTAAATGACAACCTTGAAAGCCAAATGAATTTTATATATAACTTGTGTCTGATCCATTTGTTGCAACTTTTTAATTGATGTTTTTACGAGATTAGCTCATTAAGTGGTTACCTGTGCTTTGATTTCCACAGGAAACTCAAACTAGTATAATCTTCTTACGTTCTTATATCGCATAACCAGCAACTATGGCTGATGTTTCAAAATACCAACTGATTCTGTCCCCCCCCCCCAAATGAAATAAAAAGCTTAAAAGAGGAAAAGAAGGCTGGTTATGGTTTTGTCCTGAGTATTCATCAAGGTGAGGAAGTGGCATTTTAGTTCTCTCTCTCTCTCTCTCTCTCACACACACACACACACACACACACACACTGGGGGAAGTGGACAAGTGACTAATTTAAGGAGACAGGTTAATTTTATTAAATACTTAGGGGCACTCCCAATAAGGCTTATGGAGTTACTCACCTGTGGACATGACCTTTGGGACCTGGCAAATCTCACCTTCCGTGAACATGACTCACTTGCAGGCTGGGCTTCCCACTTCCTGTTCTCTTTCCAGAAATAAAGCAAATCTTTGTTGTATCCACTGCCACAAAAAAGGAATCTCACATGCCTCTGGTTCTTCTCTCTGTCGGTGAATACAGGCAAGTGACCAAGTGGTAATTTACTATGGCCTTCATGTAATGGCAGGGTAAACAGTTGCCAGAGCCTGTATGATCAAACAACCCTGGGTCCTCTTATTCTGGATAGATTTATCATCCACAGTCAGAGTTTGCACACACTATGTTTATTATTATTTTTCTGCTACAAAATTGTACCCACATAAACCATGACATGACTGACAAAAAATGGTTCACTAGGGGTGCAAAATGAAAAATGAGGTATGCTTTAGACTACATGCTATTTCAGAACATGAGTGTAGGACCATCAACTGACCATCATTGTTGAACATATACTAATAACAAATTTATTCTCCAGGTATGGATCACATGTCCCTATTGGTGCAAGAAGTAGGCATCAACTCCCAGTCATGGCAGCTAGACTGCTGACTGGGAGTGGCCACCGAGACCATATAACACCAGTCCTGAAAGACCTACGTTGGCTCCCAGTACGTTTCTGAGCACAATTCAAAGTGTTGCTGCTGACCTTTAAAGCCCTGAATGGCCTCGGCCCAGTATACCTGAAGGAGCGCTTCCACCCCCATCATTCGGGCCAGACACTGAGGTCCAGCTCTGAAGGCCTTCTGGAGGTTCCCTCCCTGCGAGAAGTGAGGATATGGGGAAATACCTATTTATCTATTTATCTACTTGCACTTTGACATGCCTTCAAACTGCTAGGTTGGCATGAGCAGGAACTGAGCAATGGGAGCTCACCCCGTCGCAGGGATTTGAACCGCCGACCTTCTGATCGGCAAGTCCTAGGCTCTGTGGTTTAACCCACAGTGCCACCTGCATCCCAGGATGGGAGTCTGTAGCAAAGGGAACTACTGAAGTGGCCAAAGCAGACCTTTGTTGGGTTAATGGGTCTGACCAACCTGTTAGACACCTTATTTACATGTCTAAAGAGTTGGTCAAGCACAGATGTGTTGCCAGCAATGTCTCTAGAAGGAGGGGTAGGCCTCCCCTCCTCACCTGGCTGAATGCTACCTCATCCTAGGAATAGGAAAACAATAAACTGGGACCTTATGAGACTGCATGAAGTTGGCAAAGTCTCATTTGAATTAGGAAATATCTGAGTCAACTTGGGCATGGTTTTATCTAATCTGCATTCCGCAGAGATACTTTTCAAACCCCTTTTTATACAGAAACGATCTTTCACTAGGAACAGAAACAAGTATATTGATGAAATGTTCCCCACCGCCAGCACAAAATAAAAAATAAAAATACATGTGCACCCCCTACTGGGCAAAACAATATTGACTGGAATGGCATCAATCTCATTTACTACACAAACATTCTCTGTTGTCTAGGAGCTGCAATTCAGCTGGAATGTCATGCTTTGTCTCCACAGGATTCTTGTGTTTACAGATACAGGAAAAATACATTTATGTCGGAAATGACTACCCTCCAGATCTAGCCAGGTATCCATCCTCAGGTCATAGGGTCATCGATCAAGAAGTCTTGTAAACTAAGTCAACATTTTTATGTCTGGTAAACATCTCCGTGCATGGGGAAAATATTGAGAGCTACTTCAGGGAGACAGAATGTTACAGCAAAAAATAGTGCAATGCATCAACACTGTCTGGAAAATAGGCAAAGGGCTACATGACTAAAGGTTTCTTCCCTGACAGGAATTGCATTTTCCATTCCTTAGCCTTATTGCATAACCATATGTGCAACAATATGTGAAATTAACAAAATATGGGGAAGTCTAAATGCCTTTCTTTCAGCAAGAGCCCAAAAGTTCATCATAATCAA